CAGATCTTCTCTGAAATTGCTTTTTAAAAATACTATCTCAAGAGCTTATTTTTTGAAGGTCTTAGTCTATATCTCCTACTCATCTCACACTATCATTTAACGCTTCTTTAAGCATTGTCAATTTTCCATAAAGCACATCGTGAAATGACTTTAAAACATACAAATAAACTAATTACAATAAACAAAAGATCGGCTTTTTACTTAATGCTGAGGACAGATGTAAGTACCCCCTTTTTAATCTTTCTCGTTCTTACAACATCATTCGTCTTTTCCTTTATTTGAGTGAAAAGAGTGAAAAAAATTCGAAAAAATGCTGGCCGACTAAAGGATAAAAAAATTCAAGAAAACCAATAAGAGTGAAATAAAGAGAGTAATGAGGAAGAAAGGATAAGTATCCATAGATTAGAGTTGGATATAAATATGCACTTAATGAACTAAGAGAGAAGAATCTAATAAAGATATCCCTATCGTGGAGATGAGGGATGAAAGAGGAAGAGGTCGTTTTCATAATAACAGATGGCCATAGGGACTTTGATGAAGGGGGGAAATGTTCGTAAGTCATTCTTATATAGTAATGCTCCTGGCGATCTTCAAATAATTGTTATTTGTTATCAATCAATAATAACACTGACTGCATCACTAATGTATGTATTAAATATGTAAGTTATTTTGTTTGGTTTCTGGATAAAAAATTGTCATCGTTAAAAAAAAATTATTCTCAGAAAATCGAAAAAATTTGAGTAAACTTTCAGAAAATTTTGTTCATCTCTTCCTCTTTCATCCCTCATCTCCATTCCTTTATGCTACAGAAAGATTCCTTTCAGCAGTAATAAGAAAGAAAGCGTTCTTAAAATAAAAAATGGTTTAGGCTTATTCGGAAATAACAAACATGCAGACAGGATTGGAGAGAAATATGACCAACCAGAAGATACGAATTTGTTGAAAATATGAAGAAATTTAAATTTTTAGTGGCAAAATAAAAGTGAGGAAGGAAAATGAAGTGAAGGTGGGAGGAGGAAAAAGGAGAGCTGGAGGATTGATACCTTAAAGAAGTTAGATACGCTCACTCATCGTACAGCCACCGTTAACAGAGGAGTACTTATTAAACAGTCAAATTGATTGAAAACGAATTTGGAAGAATAAAACGAAAGAGACTTCAGTATCTTACAATAGTAAAGAGTTAACTGCACCACTGTTAACTGTTACCCTCACAAGAAGGTTACACTATAACACGTTTTAGTGTTATTCTAAGGAAAAATTGAATTCCTTTTCTGATGTGTCCAAAAGACTGAAATCGTTAGCTATACAGTTCTATCGGAATCTGTCACGCCATCATCAACATCGTCAATAGCCTCTACATTCGAAACCTTAGTGAAATGGAATTTTCAATTGAGACATGTTATTAACAGAGATGTGCTGTGCAGTGAATCGATAGGATTGTATTGCCGTAATGGAAAGGATGTTTAATGGAATCTCAAAAAAAAGTCAGGAAGTTAAGGATATAACGTTTGAAAGCTCACTGAATTCTCGCCCTATTTGCGGAGTCATGTGGTAAGTGCTGACTCTTGCTAGATTACAATGCTTCAGCTGAAGTTTAAATATATCCCACTTAAGTGTCATCCGCTTGTACCGCTTCGGTTTTGTGACATTTGGCAATAAAATAAACACCAGTAGCCAGTAGGGAAATCAAATTTATTCATGGGAGGCAATAAAATGAGTGAACTGAATTAGGATAATGGAAGCTCGAAAAGGAAGGATGAGTTTAGACTGGATTTGGAACTGACAAAAAGGAAGTATTGGCGGCAGTCATTGGCGGAATGGAGCAACAAAAGAGAGGTTATGGAGCTGCCGCATATTGAAGGCATTTGAAGGGGGCAATTTTATTGCCCTAAAACACATATTGCTCGATGGCAAACGAGCTTTTTAGTTGGCATCAGCGTTAAAGTATTGAAAAGCAGGGAAATGGAGGACGAGAAGTTATCAAACGAATCCCAATCTTTAAATACACTAAATATAAAAATACTGAAATTGAACACATAGCCAAAGAATAAATTGGATTCTTAATTTTCACTCACTCACTTTACTCTTTATTGTGCTTCATTCCGGAAAAAATATTCCAAAATTTATTTACTGATTTCTCATATCGAATATATTCTCATATCAAATCTTTATATGTACATTTGCAAGCATTATGTATTTTTCACAAAAACGGTGTTAGTTGATTTTAGTTTCTCAAATAACCAACAATGTAAGAAATATGATTACTAATAACAATTTCTTCCCATCAAAATGTGAAAAACACTAACCCCGAATATCCATCCTTTGAAATAGAATTCGTTAATTAATAACTTTGTTATAGGTCAATTTTCTGAATCGCAGAACGGTACTAAATGATAAGGTGCTCTTAATGAACAACAAGTAATCAATTTCAGTTGTTTAATACAACATCAAACAGATTTCATTCTACTACGACAAAATGTCGCAACCTTTCTGTTACCCGAAGTGGATACCACGAATACTTTCGGATCAAATGAATGGAATGAAAAATTTTTAGTTTTATTAAAATATCAAATTTGGTGATCATATCAGCAAATCAGCAACATAGCATGCAACAACACGTACCCACGATGATGCTCTTCCCTCTCCATTCTCTAAATTTTTTTTTTTTGCGGATGAAACCTTTTCAAATTAACTGACACTTAATGAACACTAACCGCTAATTAGCATTACTAAAACTTCTCACATTATATGATTGGACAACATACATTTCTCAAAAGTTTCACTGATCGTGTAGTAATATAATTCTGCTAATAATATGTGGATTTAATATTGATAACACAATTAATAAAGCTAGTTACAAAATTCACCAATCATAAATTATCATAAAAACGAACCACTAATTATTATTCCTAACTTTCATGATGCACTCTCTCTTATTCATTCCTTCGTTTATTTCCCCACTTCATCTTCCCTTCCATTCATTATTGCGTCAACAAAACACATTAGCGATTGCTTAAACAGAATTGCTTACATCTAATATAAATATTAGTTTTGAAGCGATCATATTATCAATGAACAGAGATAAGGATTTCCACATTATACACTGAATAGTAGGGTATACAGATAATTTACAGAAAGACAAAAGATCAAAGATGATAACGATGTGTTCGATAATTTGAGAGACAAATGATCACTTTCGCCTAGCAATTATATTTTTTTGTGCAAAGCCAATTGACGGAGCAATAATTGTTAAAAATTTTTAAATAAAATAAAAAAGAACGCAGAGATTAAAAGGATGCAAATAATGAAAGCTGGAAAAATGCTGGTCATATATCTAAAAAGCAAAAAGCAAGAAAAAAAATTGAAAGACGATCAAGATGATGAAGACGGCTGTCGAATTATCAGATGAAAAAGTGTTGCCAGGAGTGGATGAATGAAAAGCGCATATTTCCCAATCAGTGACAGGGTGCGCAAATGAGTTTGACAACAGGCCATTTATCATATCGGCAGATCCTGAAATGCAATCTCTTCAAATTCTCTACAACATGACACATAATGGCAGCCTACGCTCTCTACTCTTTCAACCAGTTTCCTTCATTCCACTCATTTCGTTTGAAGTGCAAATTTCTCCGAAGCAAACATGCTGTCTCTTTTAATTAGATGTTCAGGTCGCTCTTCTCTTTCGATCCAAGTCATTTTTCTGCCTCTCCTTAAGTGATCATTATTACATAATACTAATCAGAACCATCTATTTGATTCACTCCAAAGTTATTTTCTTCATAAATGAAAGCACTCAAAAAGAACAAGTAACGCGCACATTTCTCCACGAAATCATTTGATTAAATGATTTCAATATTCTTCAAGAACAAAAAGGTTGAAAGTAATCCAATCCTTCATTCATTTTTTTATTTGTTTAATTGGGAGAACGATTGGTCATTTATTCACAGCTCAACTCACTGTTGCGTAAAAAGACCATGTACTTGCTCCAATTCCAACACTATTCAATCATACGGCCATTATCATTTAGGTCATTCCAACTGTTCTCATTCCTTCCCTTTTTCTGTTCATTTCTTTCGAATATCACTTGAAACTGTCATTTTCCAGAATAAATTTTTGGAAAATTCAGCTAATTATTTTAGATTTATTTAACGTGTGCATCCTATTGTATGTGATTTAGTTTATTTAGAAAGTAAGCAATAATTATGTAACAAATATATGACTAAAAACTGCACTTTTTCATACATTTCTCATTAGTTTCCTCGTGCTTCATAATTCATTTTAAAAAAGAAATAATTAACTCCAACATCATCAGCATAATAATCGGACTTGAATTAAAAGTACATGTTTATTCAAACATGTACTTTTAATTCAAGTCCGATTATTATGCTGCTGAAAAATGAATTACTGAGATTGAAACGAAATTTGATTATTTTCTTTTACCCTCTCTTTCCTTCCTCAATGCAGGAGTGCACCTGCAACAACACCATTTTAATAGAAAAACAAGGTCGATTTACAAATGTGTCACTTTCTCACAGTTCAGCCTCAATTCCTCAATTTGCTACTCTTCACTTAGATTCAAATAAACTTATCAGCATTTAAAAAAATTTTTTTTGAAACAGTCTAGAAGGGCTCATATTCAATAATAAAAAGTGAGCAAAGTGATGGGATCAAAGTAAACTGACATTAAACAAACTGAAGATGATATTTAAATACAACTCTTTTTAAAAAACTATTTTAACATGAAAAGATTTAACTTTCTACAGAACATGTATAACAAGCAACAAATATAATGAAAAGCGGTAAGGTGAACCATTGAGATTAGGGGAATAAAGTGTAATTTGAATATTATAACATATATTTCATAGCAAATTATTTTATTATCTGTATATTATTAGTATGAATCAGAAAAAACAGGTGAATAATAGATGAAAAAGTGGAGGATTCGTCCAATGCTAATCGTTTTAAGGAGCAGATGTGACTCGGTGTCGTATTCACTTTCACTATAAAAGAGGACAACGACATACTGACCTTTCTCCTATTCCAAACACAAACACAGATACACACACACCCTCCTTCAAGTATTCCATCTCGGTAAGTGCTCCTCGCTTCCCTAATAAATCTGACAATTGTTTTCCTCTTACTAAAATGTCGAATACAACCCGTCCTCCTCTTCTCCTTATTCTTCTCTTCTCTCCAACATCACAGCAAATAGTCCTAATGCATTAAAATCTGCGAAAATTCTCAAATACTTCGAAGATATTCCGGTTATTTACAAAGGGGAAAAACTGATGCGAAATCAATCCATTTTGATAATTCCACAAAATATGAGAAATAAGTGTGGGAAAATGTCTGGATGATATATGAAAGTGAAAATGAGAGTTTGACAAGCCAGTGAAGAGTTGATTGAAAGGAAATAAATAATATTAAGAATGGAAAGAGGAATCACTATCATCAGTGCTATACGGATAAGCCGACATCATCATTTTCACAAACGGCGGCTATTAGCACCATTACACAGATGAGACAATACTTGAAATAAAAATGCGAATAGAAATCAGCTTGTGCTTTTTCCTTTTATTTTTTGATTATCTGAATAATGTGTAATAAAATCTCATGAAAAAAAGATTGAAAATATGTTTAAAAAACAAACTTTGAAACACAGAGTGATAACAGATGAATTAATAGCAGATGGGCTGCTGAAAGATTTAATGGCTAGAGTTTGATGTAACATATAAGAAAAGCTACAAGAACGTCTAACGCGCAGATGCTGCATCAATAACGGATATTCTGATAATACTATGTAAGAAAAATCTAAAGATTGGCAGTTATAAAAAAATGATCACTTCAAAAAATTAATCTGCACTGCTACCAGATTGCTCAACCTTTTACCTTTTTTTTTTTCATTAAATATGCTACCTAGTTTTCAACCACATTAATAGCAACAAAAAATTGCGCCTATTTTAAAGAAAACATGACTCGATTTCATTTGCATGTGCAGCATAGTTATCTTGTTTGTCGTTAGACAAACTGGTCTTATATGTATGACTTTAGATGACATATAAATGAAAACAAGAAAAATTGTGTGCTCTTGTGCCAAAATTGCTTCGAATATTCAGATTAACGAAATCGAAGAATGTTTAAAGAAAAATATGTCAATGATTGGCATCCAGCACTTTTTTGTAGAAGTGTCAAAAATTACCAATGTAATTTTCACTAGTTGAAGCGAAACACAAAAGCTATGAGAATATAATTCCAGTTTTACAAACAAAAAGCAGTACAGTTTGGCCATCACTACGAGCAGATCATGTGATGGTAATTTAACAACGAAGGTAATTTAAAATAGACTTACGCGAAATACTAATTAATCAAAGTTAAAAAATTCGAAAACTTGGAAGTTCAACTTACTTTGAACTTTTGACATCATATCATTCAATGTTCCAGGACTTGGCAGCGCCAAAACTTCTTCGCCTTGCTCCTCTTCTTTCAACATCAATGACAAATTTGACTTTGCTCCTAGCTCAGCTGGTTGTGGAATTTTAGAATTACAGACAACTTTGGTTTGCGTTGAAACAGCTGTGCCTAATGTCAAATTAATACCGATTTCTGTACCCGGTTGACTGAAACCGATCATATATGCACCTCTTCGTTGACTGCAAGCTACAACTGGTATCCGACAGCAACTGTCACAGCTGGCGCAACAATCACATTGTCTTGTTGATCTTTTTCTGCTCGAACCGTATCTATCAATATTTGCAATGGTGAAACAAGTCAAGGATGCAAACCTTCTTTTTCACAAATGACAACTAATCGTAGAAGGTGAACCAAATACCACTGTGGACTGCTGATGAAACTATTGATATCGGATGATCCGAAAAAGAAGTATGGAAATTTTCGAAACAATTTCTAGATTTCAATTTTGAACGGTACTGCTACTACTCTGTCTAAGCAAACTAAAGAAAAAAAAAATTTTAGTTAGCTACAACGAACATGTACACAGCACGATCTTAACAGAAGCACTTAGTAGTGAATATCGTTGGCCTTTTGAAGAGAGGGAGGAAGGAGAGGGGGTGAACAGGAGCAGATAAAAGAAAGCATTATCTTCATGTGTAAAGAAAAGACAAATTATTGCTTTTTTTTTGAATGAAAAGAGAAGCTCTTGTATAAAGCTTTGAAGTCCAAGCACGAAGGATTTGAATGTCATAATATTTTCCACACTGAAAGCTTCTTTTTAAATAAACCTTTCTTTGCTGATTGACTGAAATTTATGATTGAATAAAGTATAAGCAGTAAGGAAAGCTACTGCAAGGATATGCTTTCATTGCGTGTGAAAAATGAAAAAAAAGAAATTGGATTCATTCTTTTCAAAAAAAGAAATGACCAAATATGGCGAAGTTGGACAAGATAGAAAAGTAGTGGGTGGAACAGGCAGAGAGTGAACCTGAAATTTCACGTTGTACCAGCAGTATGCATGGAGAGAATTTTAATAGGAAAAGAAGCAAAATTGTGACATAAATGCAACATCGGATTCGAATGAATCAGAAAATAATGTCGAAAACAATAAGAGGATGATGAACAAGAAGTTAAAGAAGATTAGCAGTGAGAAAAAGAAGGATGAACGAACGCAGTTAGGCTGAGAACGATCCGAAAGCCACTAAATGTCGAAAAGAACTGGATTAAAACAGATAAATGAATGACAACTTATATTGATAGCTTTCCAGCGAAGCATCGTTTTAATATTTTAATAATGAATCCAAGAACGAGTGTGTCTATATTTTAATAATGAATCTAAAAGTGGGTATGTCCATACTGCAGACTTTCGCATCCAATGCAGGTGCTTAATAATCCATCCACGCATAAATACTACAGGCAGGGTGGGACGAGATATATACTTATGATTAGGGCGAAGCACTAATGATTTCTTACAAACCACCATCAGTCGTCCTTCTACCAATCATTCCGTGACTTAAATATTTTTAAATAAATTCTGAATGTGTTTCATAAACATCCTCAACAGCGAGAGGAAAAACAAGAATGGCCTCTATACTCCGATGGAAAAAATTATGAATTGTGAAAACTCATAATGCTTGGGGAGTTCTGTAGTAGAAAATCAAAAATAGTACTATCGCAAGTGAAGAGTGTCAATTTTCTAATTTATATATACATGTAAAGGTGAATGAAATCAACAAGTGAGAAATTTACATATTTATTGTAATCTAATGCAATTGTTGCACCTAATAGGTCTGCTACTGTCAGCGGTCTACTACTGTTAGCTATGTTTATGCCAGGCATTTTGATCCTTTAAATTACTAAACAAAATGAACCTTCCAAAATTTTTAGACTTTATGTTAATTACTTTTCCTTCCTTCTTTTTTCAAGAATTTACTTTATTTCATCACGTATAATTTAAATAATTGTAGTCTAGTGAAAAATTCATGCCCTTGGAATATTATGAAAAATCGGAATTGAAATAAATCATTTTTTGCAACATCTCTATATCATAAGCTTGGTTTGTTTCTAAAAAATACATTTAGAGAAAAAGTAGAACTTAAAAGCTTGAGATAGAAATGGCGGCAAAAGAAGATAGATTCTTTACCACTGTTATTAACTTACAAAAAATGTTAAAATCAAAATTTCTATGAAAACTTCGACATTTCCACTTCATTATATGTTGCAATAATTTGAACATTGAAGAAATTTCTAGCAAAGCAGTCGCCGTAAATAAGACGTATGCCATTATATTGATTTCATAAATGCACTCAACAACACTTACTGATGTTGTAGCATCAATTTTAAAAATTTGCAGCAAGTTAGAAATATTATAAATATATAAAAAATGATATTTCCACAATATAATATTGCTACCTGATTTTACTGAATCTGTTAGGAAAAACAAGATAAAGTTCGCCTAGCACCTTCAAATAAGCCATTATGAATACCTGATGAGTTTAGCTTGCTGTTCTAAAGAAAAAGGAAAATTATTCGACGAGCCCATCTATTCTCAAATGTCATCACTCCTTCAACGCCTGTAAAAAGCTATTAAAATTTTGTCTGAACAACCGGAAAAGACCGTCGTGATGTTTTTTTAAAATAGCTTTCTAAAATTAATGTTTAAAAATGAACGAAGATGTAAAGTGAAGGAATCGAACATTTATGCATTGTTTTATGAGTAAATAACTGTTGGAGATACACAAAATCATCTCAAATAATGTTATGCTTAGAAAGCGAAAATACTGCTGGTACATGAGAAAAAAGAGAATATGGAAAAAATTGAACCAATAAAAATTTTAATTTGAGATATAAATGTTGAAAGGAGAGTTATGCAGCACAATAAATTAATGAAATCAGGTTCATCGAAACGTACTGCTCGTAAATTGAATACAGTTGTATTCACTCCTACCAGCACATCATGGCAACCATCGACAGATTGAGGAAGAAAATACAAAACGGCTCTTATTTATATTATTAGAAATACAGCGTCCTCCTACTGCATGAAGTCAACTTTCTAACTACTCACCAGTCTGATCAAATAAAGAAGAATCTTTTTCAAAAATTGAAACTACCAGCAGCAAAGAAAGATTAGAAAGCAAAGAATATTTATAAATATTTCCCGGTTAATCAACTAAAAAACCTACGAATGTATTCCAAAGTGTATATAAATAAAAAGTAAATTTATCTATAATTCTGCAACTGAAGACTGAACATGTTACAGTATCGCTAGAATTTATGTACTGTAAATACATATAACAAAATCATCCACGGTTGATTAGTCTCCATCGTTAACTGAAGATATCTACCTCTTTGCATAACACTAAAAATATTCACATACTACGCATGCCCTTTTACGAAGCATGAAGAATATAACTAATTTTATAAAAAAAGAAATTTATTCAAAACATGATGATGATGAATGAATGAGATTGCAATGAAATGATGGATGCTGAGTAGAGAAAGACTGGTTCAACTTATCTCTTTATATAAAACCGTCAAATGTTATACTCCCGAAGTTGGTTCCCAAATGGCAGAGAAGAATGAAATGACCTCAATCTCTCAATAACCTGTATTAAATGGACAAGCTTCAGATGCCTTAGTCAACTCTCTTCCGCAGACTGGCAACTCTGAAACTGTGATTTATTTCGAGAAGAGATAATAAATATGAGTCCGTGTCTATATGTGCGTATTTCTGCGCATATGTTGTCTATATAGAGAGCAGGATAGCAAACAAGGTTCATATCTTCTGAATTCAATTACGAATACGTTAATGAGCTTTCAGAAAATGCATTTAGAGTTGTTAACTGCCAACTATAAGGCTGTCCCTAAAGCACTGGCAAATTAACACCATTTGTAGAATGAAATGAGACAAAAGTGGTATGAAAGTGAAGGGGCGGAATGTTTTCGTCAACAAAGTCTTGCGAATGCTCATTAAAAAAAACAGTGAATATAAATTTTAAAAAGAATGCAAGAATTAATCCAATTTCTTAATTCTTGCATTTTTCTTAACTTATATATCATTGTTTTTTTTTAAATGAGCATTCGCAAGACCTTGTTAACGAAAACATTCAATTAATATATGTATAATTTATAATATGTTCAAAGCTTATTTCCTCATTCATCATATTTATTTTTTCATCCTTGAAATTTTTCCTCTGATAGCTTTCACTTTTCAGTCACCTGATTTTGAAATATTTACAGTTTTTAAAACAATAAAGAAATCATTTACATAAAAACTGTTATGACGTGATGATCATTTATTGTAATACTTAATGTTAATAAATATCTTAAAATTTAGAGAACAAAAACTCATGGACGTGCATGTTTATACCTTCTGGATTTTAGTTCGACACAGAATGTCTGTCAATACCCAATACAACAACACATAGAAAATATCGCACAGTACGATCATTTAAATGATCCGTAAAGCACAGAAACTTTAACACTATAAAAAGCAACAAATAATTTGTTAGATCAAATCATGCCAAAAGAAAATTACATTATGTAAGGTTTACGTATTTAAAAAATTTTTGCTAGTAGAACTAATACTTGCTCTCATAGGCTGCAAACATATTTCTTAGAATTTCATCGACTAAGTAGAACTGTTGAGGAGATTTCACGGCCTTATTTTTGAGTTAGTTTTTTATTTCATACTAATATTATATCCATTCTCTTTTCTATTATGTGATCTTTTCAATCAAGCAAGAAGTAACCACACAAGTCTACCATTTTAAACAATCCATTCTATCATTACAATGATAAATGAGCTAGGCTTTGCAATATTTGAACCTCTTTTCCGTTATTTATGAAAGAGTATATTTGAATGACAGTATGATTCAGAAGTTTGAAAAAGGTACTAAACGTGCACTTATCTGTGAAATGGAAGCAATCACCCATTCTCTTTTGAACTGAAACGAATCACGTTTTGACTATTTTGTGAGAGAGGAAACACGACTAGATTTTAAATAACGAGAAGATAATATAGAAAGAAGTGAAAAACTTAGAGATCAGATAAACCAGCCCCATCCACCGTACAATAGTAAGATAAACTGTCCAGTATTTTTATTTCTTAAAAATCCTACCAATTTTCTCTTATGTAATATGTAGATCTTTATTTTTATTAAAATTTATTAAAATAATGAAATGTTTGACAGTCACAAAAACTACATGTGCAATTGGTTATAAAAAAGCACAAAAGCGTTATACAGAAGATTTTCTACTTCCAATATAGCTACCTTTCTTGAAGATGATATTTTAACCTCAATAGTTAATTTTATTAGCTTAGAAAAACTTTGTACTGAATTATCTGAAATACAAAGAATTAATGCAGTTGCCTCAGGCAACTGTTTCTGTACGTCACATGCTTTGATAAAATGAATCTCCAAAGCTTCAAAGCACTCTTTACGAAAAAACAACTGACAAAGTTAAAAATGAGCAATTTTTCATGAGATATTCTATCCACCATTTTCAGGCAATCGATTTCATCTAGTTATTTTCTTAAACTTTGTCTGCCCTTTTCATTATTCCAGCTTATCAAACCACAAAACGTCACGTTTTCAAGCTCAACATCAAATTTTCCGAATTCAAACTTCATTTAATGACAATTTTTGACTTTTTAGCCATAATTTCTTCAAAACAGAACAGATTCAGTGCTTGTAAAAAAACTTTAAAAACTAAAGTAATAAAGCTATCAAATTTGCTAATAAGAGAGATGACAATAAGCAAACGATCCTAAAGATACGAAAATAACTCTAAAAAAATTATTCTACGTAAAGCAATTTTGCAGTTTAAGCTATTATTTAAACGTTTACTTCTGTTAACTTAATCCTTAGTTCTGTCTGTGTGATAAGAATATCAAAAAAATCCAAGTTTAAAAATTACATTTTTCTTAATTTATAATTCTGCAAAAAGTATTCATGGGACTAAAAATCAGAAAAGTTGAAATATAGCTAAAAGGAAATTATTGTAGAAGAAATAAGAAGGGAACTAACACTGATAAGTAGGAGAGGCAGACAACGACGATGGTTGGTTGCCAAGGTAGGTTCTCACTGACACCGATTGTGGCTGCTGCAATCATTTACAGCAGTACAAAAATAAAAGATTTGTTATTGATAATATAAATTAACCAATTGTATTAGTATAGCAAATCCTAAAAACAGTTTAATTGAAACTATTTCTCAAATTATCAACAGAATAAGGAATAGCCTTCTATTTTTCGTTTCTTTTTTTTCTCAACTTTTTTTTACTTAGTACCCAAAAAAAGCAACGATTCGGAAGTACTAACTTGCACCTAATCTGTAAATAAGGAATATGATTCCATAAGGGATATAATTTTAGTAAACCTATGCTCAATAATCAATAAATATGTATTTAATTGTTCATAATTCTGTTAATCAATTTTGTTGTAGAGCAAATATGTTTGCCAACAATAGGTCTAGCTGATCGACAATAGTCTCGCACCTCCATTCGTTTGTAATTAACTAATCGACTAATTTTTCTTGAGAGAATCTATCTTCCCTACTATGCATCTCTTTTTTGATATCGCAACACTTTATTCAAAAAACTTAAAATTTAAAAATTCATGCCTAGAATTTATAAAATGAACAATTAGTAATAAAGCAACCTGTTGACGATAGACTGGAGATTGAACAGAATATTTTGGCTGTTGCAGCCCCTTAGATTGATAGCAAGATTGTAGCGGATATGGAGCAGATTGTGGTCCAGAAGATTGTTGAGAAGCGACTACTGACGGCGGTGGATACATGGTTCCCCGTGATGCTGGCGTAACTGCTGCTCCGGAAGCGACAGCTGGAAAAACATTGGAAGATGAAGGATGCTGACTGTTTTGTAGCTGCAGCTGCGACATAGCTGGTGGATATCCTAAAATAAAGTAAGATGCAAAGGCTAATTTGTATAGGCTAATAATTTATCATCATAAAAGCGAAATATTTCAAATAGTAGTAATGATGTCATTTAAACAGATGCATGTGATAGAGAGTGGTAGAGTCATATATGGAATTATGCCCATTAAGGCAAACACTACCAGTTAAAGATGCAAAAGCAAAAAAGTTTAATTTAACAAATTTTGAGATCTAAATCGATAAGGAAAATGAATAACAAACTGAAAATAGCTTTCAGAAACATTCCAAGTCAAATATTTTCTATAGCCAGTTGCATGAAGAAAATATACCTATAACGAATAAATATATGATTTAGTCTCATAAAAGAGAATGCTACTACGCTGCTAGATTCTGATACGATAAAACATAATGACTACTATAAATAAAGGATGATTAAAGTGAATCGTCTACAAACCATCTGCTCATTTGGCATTTGTTATTATGAATAAACCCATCAATAACATTTCAATAATTTGTTAAAGGCAGAAATGTCCAAAAAAAAATGAAGTAGAATTTGTTCCAAGTCGCATTCTTTAAGTCTCAAATTCTTCTTTAAAACCGAGAAATAGTGACTGAAACTTATGTGAATGATCTTTCTTCAAACTCACATCTGTAGAAGCAATCACAGTAAGCCGTTACACAAATTTTGTTCAGTTTTTTTTAAGACTTTGATTTTTCAATCATAACTGAATCTTTAAATTCACTAAACCTGAAAGCAACTAGCATACAAGCAAAAAAACGACTCAGAGAAAAGTAATAATTAGCGACAAATATGTGATTCTAATTGGGTTATGGATTTATCGACAATTGAGTAATAAGATTTCACCAAACATCATCTATCTGTGAACCAGGTTTTGTATTGATTAGTAAAACAAAAATAAGACCTTCCGTCAAGTCAAGTAACGACAAAGAAAAAAAGAGAAAAATAAAAAATTTCGAAAAAATTAATGCAAAATCAACAGACTCGTAACGACCTCGTGAGAGTTGCACTGGAAAACCCATTTTCGTAAGAGGAACTGAAATGCACTTTGATGCTAAGCTTCAGTTAATAATTGGGCTCTGCAAATCAAAAATAGATTACTTTTTTGTTCATACTGAGAGCAAGAAGAAATATAATCATTTACGTAAATAAGTGGACTGTAAATGGATTTTTTTAGAACTTGAAAGGAAAAAAACATATGAAAACTTTTGGAGCATTTTTTTAGTCATAACGGGTTTTATTCCTCTCTTTTTCCACCCATTCCAAAAGGAAACAACAAGAATAACTTGCTCCTTTTATAACTTAAATGTTCAAAAAAGATGTTAAATTGTCACATTGTTGACTGTTCCCTCATAAATGAAAGCAACCGTTCCTTCAACTTGAATGAAATTCACACTTTATTTCTTGTGAGCTACACATATGTTGCACCTTTTCCATTTCCTCGGTACAAAAGTCATTGAAATCAAATTAAGCCAGATCAGATTATTGAAAAGACAGAAAACTGAATGTCACATTAATCGCATTTTTAGTATTAACCGCATTAAATTCCATTTTAGTCAAACAAGTTTTTCAAAGCCTAAAGTAATTTGCAGAAACAAAATGCAAAACTTAAGAAAAAAAATTTCTAAAACAAGTTGACTGCTAGGAATCATACGTAAACATTACGATGGCCGTACCATACCCCGCAACCATAAAATGTCAACTATCAACTGCATTACTATCTTTAAAAAAGTTCTTGTAAAATTATCAAATAATTTTGAGAATAATTTGTAGGTACTGAGCTAATTATGAAAAAATATATACAATTGCCCTGTTTGGAAGGCTTTACCTTCAGTTATAAAATTGCTAAATAGATTTGTAGACAAGTGACACTCTAATACAAAAGTCAGGTTTGCATCGTTTGAAAGATCAATCAAGAACTGGGACAAACTGTCTGTAATTCCCGGATAACGAAATAAAATAGTGCCTCAAAATAATAAGAAAGAAACAATTTATGCGTTATCGTTAACCACACAGATTACGAATTTTATGAAAGAAGGCAACCAATGTGCAGTTGGTTACGGCGGAAATTCATGGCAATTTCGACCATTTATCAAATTTTATGTGCTGATTTACACGATTTCATATTTCATCTTTCAAAACTATTTTTATTCAACAATATGAACATATTTATTTAATGAATAATAGAGTGCAATTTCTTTTCCTTCAAAGTAATTTCAATTATTGATAGTTCACTCAAGCTATCTATGGTTTTATTTTATTCCGACTACTTTTATAATGTGGACCAGTTAAAGTACAATCTAGAAGTCAAGTTTGTAATAGTGTAGACCAAAATTCCCGTGATCAATCAAATTCGAATTTAGATTAGTTTTGAGAGGGAATGACGAAGAGGGGCAAAATTAGTTAAAATTATTCATAAAGAAAAATAACTTGGACACTCATCACCCGATGTGACAAATAGCGACACTTAAAAAATTTTAATACATGCGAAAAACTTCGAAAAGTAAGAAACCAGGGCGTTCGAAAAATGAGTCATGGAAGCATTAGCTCTTAAAAATTGAATGTTAATGATTTTTCCACATCGATGACTTCTAATATCTTACCTTTCTGCTTTTCAAGCAACAGAGTGAGAATGGAAAGAGACAAATCGGTCTTTCGCAAACTATTCAGCCAATGAATTACGGAAAAACATTCATTGTGTATTACCACTAAGAAATGCGGTCAGTAAAAAGCAATCGATGGATCTATTATAAAAATTTGAATATGACATGTGCAGAAAAAAACAGAAGTGAAAAAATCTATATTAAGTCTATGTCAATTAAGATCGTATTTTCGTGAATTTCAATCTTTTCTTAAATAAAATAGAGGAAACCAATGGATGAATAAAAACCAAATTTTGAAAGCTTAGTGTTACCAGAACACTTTAGTCTTCTTAACTCGCGAATTTGAAACTACAGATTACTAATGACATAAATAATTCCCTTCTCGCATATGCATTAAATAATAAATCCTTCAAGCATGAGTGCTAAACAAAATCAAAACATCTACAACTCTACTGTTTTAATGTTAATGAACTAAAAGTTCTACTGAAAATACAGAAATAAAGAACTCTGTGAAATTACTGCTAAGTTAAGAAGAGATAGAGAATAACAGCATAAAAGTAAAAAAAGAGATACATGAGCAAGAAACTTAGTGATAATTTCAAAAAAAGAAGAAAATTCAACGAATTACTAACCTGAGTAAGGGAGTCGCTGTATCATAACACGATGCACAGGTCCGGAACCAAAATGCTATAAATAATAAAGGAAATTATATGAGCCTGAGAACTACAGAACAGATTTAAGTAGAGGTAAAGAAATTTTCAAAAACTGATTTTGATAATTTAACAATTTAACACTTGAGTACTACCTGCTGAGTTTGTTGACTTGTCCACTGAGGTTGTTGCATTTGCGCATGGCATGAATATTGCTGTTGTGGTGGACCCACCGCTGGCATTCGTGAAAGATATGGAGTACAGGGAGGCGAAGGTGGTACGTGGCTTGACGGTATCACACCTATTTTGTTAATAATTATTTCTTCCAAACTATACTTTTTGCAAAATTTACGACTTAAGAATTCATAACAAATCACTTTCCCCTGAACTGTTAAATCTTGTTTGTAAAAACGAGGTAAACGTCGTGGTGCAAACTCTACAATGCTGGAAAGCTTTTTTTTATAGCGTCGCCTCTGAAAAATTAGGACCCAACTACATCAGCTTCTTCATTAAAATTTTCTTACATTTTTTATTTTTTATTATCTACTAATGTGGATTCGAAATCGAATGAAGCACAATTTAAATAAAAATACTTAACCTGCTGGACTTTGCAAATTTGCTTGATAATGAATAGGAGTTTGTGGTGGTTGCATATATGGAGAAGGAGAAGCATTTGAGGAAGGACGACTTATGAACGGCGAGGGTGGTGGATGCATACCACTTGGACTTCCCATTGGACTACGAACTGCAATAAACTTATATTTCAACATTTGTCATCAAATATACATTTGTCATCAAATTGAAATTATGAATGTCACACGATAAGAAATCTGTGATAGTGAAGCAAGAAATTTTTCAAAAAATGACCCGGTAAACACATTCCCATTGGCTGTTGTTGTACGGAAGTGCGTGTAACACTTGGAGATAACAAAGCTGAATCTCGCATTGTACCACCTGAAAATATGCAGATATCCGGGAACAAGTGGAGTGCTTAATAATTTTAATTATTAAGTGTTGTTAACTTCTTTTATTTCTTAATACATATTTTTGATACAGTAGATTTTAATTTTTTTTTAATTTCACTGCTTAAATCATGCTGCCGCCGAGCTACAGAATATAAAGTTAATATTATCAAAATCTTTCTAAGTTTTACCTGGTAATCTAGGTGGCTGCATAAGTGATGTTACTGGAGAACTTGAATTGGTCGGTACTGAACGGATATTTGACGAAGGTGACTGGGAAGGATCAGCAGGCGAAGGAGTCCAATACTATAGTATTCAGAGATAAATAAAAAAATTAAGCATAATGAAATTGAATCTTAAAAAGAAAAAATGACCAAAAGTTGCATAAATTAAAAGAGTTCGAATTACAGCAAATTAATATTAAGACAAAGCTCCCTATGAATCTTCAATTAATTGAACGAAATCTAGCTCTTTTTACTTGACATTAGCTCATAAATAACACATACAGGTTGCTTATAGGGAGATTCGACCTGCGTCTGACATGCTGTTTGTTTATCGACTACCATGTCCCTCAGTCTAAAAATACTGTCTGCTGAAACTCATAAATTATGGAAAGTTATTACGAAATTATGAAATATATGAAAAAAATGACATTTAATATTCAAACGTTCCTTCAACATTTAAATTCCTCTCCAAGAAGAGAGGTAGCAATTGACCGCATAGCAACTTAAAATGCTTGTATATCGTGCATAATATATTTTATGTATAAACCAATAATAAATGCGATCTAATCAAAGTTCTGGATACAAACCTGTGAGGATCAAGATGTCCTAAAGGACTTGGAGCTTCATTTACAAATGACGAATTGTTGCTACCTGGAGCTGGTGTTGTTACATTACGCATTTCGATCATCTGCATTTCAATACTATCAGTGAAACTTGTTTAAATTCTAATAGAGATATTAAGATACTTAGTGATTTGCAATACAAACCTACATATCAAAAATTAACACTTGGAAAAAAACATACGGTTTCTGATTCTCTTGAAGTATTTGCATCGTTGTCGGAAGCGCAAGACGTTGAGCCTTCCATTATTTAATCTGAAATATACAGCATTCTTGTAACGAGATCACTAGCTAACTCTATCCAAAACTCATATGATACCATTCCACATTCATTGGTGCTTTATTCTACAAGCAAGTTCAACATTTTGACCAACTATTATTTCCTCCCTATCAAAGACTAATAAAAAAAATGAACCAGTTTCTTACATATTAATAATTATTTGACAACTTGTAAATATGCTTTTCTAACTTTTCAACTGGAAACCATATCTAAAAAAAATGTACAGAACCGTAATACCTAAAAGCTTGCACGATTTATTCCGCATCATAATTTAAAAAATATAATAAGGATAGCGTACAGAATTACCAATTATAACTCTTTTGTGAACTTTATAATTTTGCATAGAAAGTGAAGAATAAAATGCTTCATGTTACGGTACTAAATGATAATTACGAAGTAATTCATATAGGCGGCACTTATATTAATTATTCATTTCTTTGTTCAATTGCCATACGTGACGGTCTGTTTCGGCTCTTAGGGTGGTGAGCAGTAAAGTACACATAAAATAATTCACCGACTTTTCGGCGGTCTCACCTTCCTGTTGCTTATTGTTCTATACAACATCTCCCTACCCATATCTGAAGATACAAAAATAATTCCACCATTTTGGATGATAAGTAACGCACAGTGCAAAATGACTTTGATTTTTAATAATATCAATTTACCTTCACGCAATGCTAAGGAATTAGTAAATCAGTCAGTCATTTCAAATATCCATGAAAATTTTAACCGACAGAACTCAGAGTCACGTAAGGTAACTAGCAGGACAACACGGGAGTGAACATTCGATCTGAAATTATCCTCACATTGCGACCATCCATTTTCACAATGCACCAATCAATGAGTGTTACAGTTGCACAAGTAGCAATCGTGCCAGTGTTTTCTTAGCACGTTGCAGCGTTTGGGTTTGACTGTAGGTAAAGTGGTAGGCGTGCTGGTCACTGTCAGTTTAGGCCAACCTATCGGTTGTCATTAGATTGAATAATCTAAGTGACAATCGAAATATATTTCAAATATATGCCCATAAGTCGCAAAAACTTTTCTGAACTTTCCTTTGCAAGAGTAGCGATTTCACTGATACGTCAAACGAGCAGAAATGACACTTTTGAATACTGTTCGAACTTTGTTAGGGGATAGGTTTAATGGTTTCATTATGAACTTTTTTCTGCTTCGCTTTTGGTTCATTATTTCATATGTTTATTGCGTTGTCATAAGAGATGATGGAACGGCAACGTTTTTCAGATTTAAAAGTATCGTTGCTCGCAAAATGTCAAACAGTAAATGTGGCAATATAACTCTACAATTGGCTGCCATCAAAAAGGCGCTGCATGAGAATGAATACGAAAAACATTGTCGGAAATGCGATTGGCCTATGCTTCGCATCAACGTATTATTAAATCTAAATTTTACTATAATTTGTATTCACAGTGTAAATATTCATAAACAACTGCATACTTGAAAAGTGAAATGAAAGCAAATTTATCTAATTCCATCATTCATTACAGGTCAACTTGTATTATTTCCCAATTTGGTTTAAATAGTGATATTTGTTTTGTGATCCTGGAATTTTAATGATATATCTGAAGTAAAACATACAATTCAGATAGATATTGTTAAACTGGAAAAGTGTGTTTACAATGGTCAAACTTATGAAATGATGTTGTTTGTAACCGATGTGCATTCAAAGTTCGTGTTTGCGAAAGCACTTCCTTCAGGATTTAGCATGATGCTACTTGTGGAATATCTTTCGGATATTTTCAGCAGCTTCTCGCCACCCAGTTTGTTTCTTCGTATATTTCCTTCGCTTCTTGGAGCACTTATATTTTGGGGCTAACTCCTTTTGGTTTTGGTATTATTTTATGTACATTTTAGGGAAATTCTATGAACAACAAATATAGGATAATTTCCTTTTTTCGTTTCTGTATATCATGCAGAATTTATTTCACAACGAAAATAAATTTATTTTTAGAATTTTTCATGTCATCCAATAACTTGGCCAAACTTGCAATGACATTTATTGAGGATTTATACAAAATTGAAATTTTTCATCTTGAAGGAAAGGTTCGTTTCCACTGATGATGTAAATATGGGACAGTGCCTTGTCCATGATTTTTTAATACAGTTTTTTGTCCATCATTTAGTATTGTGCATCTTTCAGTATTTGGACCACTTCATGATATGAATTTTGTCAGAAGATCGCCGTCCATTGAGAATGGTATATTTCTAATAGAATTGTTCACTAAAATTGAAACACATTAGATTTTTCTTATAGGAATCCTCAGCTAACGAATTTTGTGTACAGTTGTACAAACGCGCCGCAGAAAACGGTTTGATGAGTCAATGGGTAGATGTTTTACCTTCTGTGGTCTTTAATTTCAATCAAAGATTTCTTGTTAACAAATTAAAAACACCTTATCAAGTTAGTTATTGTTTTTTAATGTTTATAAAAACATCAAATATTGCAAAATCTAAACTCTTAGAGTTTCGCGAATTTCTTTTTCTTAGTTCCAATTTCTGTTTTTTAAATATCTTAAATTCATCGCTTTTAGCTTATGTTCAATCGAAGACCGGCAGTCGAAAACACTGGCAGAAATGGATAAAAGAAACTTTTGTCGAATACTATTTTCTTTAAATTTTTTGTGGAGTTTATTTAACTGATTTCCCGAAATGTTATATGTTATTTGTTTCGAAAAGCTTCGTTGATTCTTTTATTTTTTTCTGAATTTTTGAGACGAAATCAGTTTGGTGATAATATTAGATGGTACATCCGAAGATATCAAACTAAAATCATCCAACTAACTTTAATTAAAATATTTTATCCCCATTACTGATTTGATATTTCCAAATCTGTGGTATTCGTTATGCCATTGTTATTTTATTTTTTTGATAATAAATGTTAACAGTTTTAATATGAAAAATGGATGTGTCAGTCCAACAAGTGTATTAATTACACGTGGATTATCTTTGCTGTCTACAACTGTGATTGGATATCGTTGGATGTTGCTTTAAGGGGAATGAATTTCTTGGTTGAAATATTTTGTTTCAAGTATTGGGGTTATAATTTGATTAAAAATATGTAAAAATGCCGAAACTGTTTACGCACTGTCGGTAATGCTTTTTATTTTATGTCGGATGTTGGTTAAGAAAATAATGAAAACTTTTATTATAGACTCATTAATGTTGAAATAATGGATAGTGTCGATGTGAGTCACTTATGTTTGTTTTAATTAGCGGGGAAAAGTTGAAACAAACTTTTTCGAGAAAAAGAAATTAATTAGATCTACGAAGAAAGGAATTAAAAATGAAAGAACGGAAGATTATTAGCAGACTCAGAGATCAAATTATAGGGATTCCTACCAGGCCAAGTCAGTTTTTTATGAGATTTGGAAGCGTTTAGTCATTCGATATGGCAGCGTTACTGCTTACCAGCTTTCCAAAAATGTGCTCAAAGTATTTGTTCCTTAAAATACACACTGGTTAAATTATCGGCGTTTTGTTTCGTTTTTGCGGCATGCTACCTTGATTTATTTAAAGCTCTGGAGACATATGTCACCTTACCGAACCACTGCACTGCTCGTACTACTGTAGGTATGGAACTAGCGCAAATTCTAAAGTGAATTTATTTGAAGTAAATAACTGAAAAATATTTGCTTATTTAAAATGAAGTATGGAAATAGAACGTTTCCCTCATTTTAATGTTTTCAAAAATTTCTACTTCAGTTTCTAGAAATTCTAAGGTTGACGATCAATTGCTCACTATGGCTTTCACATTTGCTGCATTTTGTTATCTTTTTGCCCTATTTGCCGTGGCATTTTGCATTTTCTTCGCCATATTCACAGTAAGTTTAATTCTACACTTTCAAGAATGGTAGAGTTCATACTACAGTTTTAACATGCATGCTTGTAAATATCACTTATGGTGAAAGATGCAAAAAATTCACTTTTGAATACTGTATTGTGTCTGCTTCTCCTTCGTTCTTTACGAATTTTTTTTTTAGTCTGTGAATGATCTTTAAAACAGTTGTCATAACTGTTGCAGGAATATTTTGACGCGAATATAATCAAAAATTGCTTTTTATTAATGTAAATGAAGATGCACAAAAATTTTAAATTTGATTACGTACCCTTGGTTTGCTGCCCTTTTTTATTGTTTCTTTCGTGATTTGGATAGAAGAAAAATACTCAACTATCTCATCAATATTTGTGACTATTTACAAACAAATATATAATACTAAGATATCAAGATGAATGCAATAACGCAAACAACAATAAAGATTTTTTTTAATTAAGAACTTTTTTTTATTTTTATCTCAGGTCATTTGTATTGACGAACTAAAGACAGATTATAAAAATCCGATAGAGCAGTGCAGTAGTTTGAACCAGGTATGTTTTGCTTTTCTGATAATTAGAAAGTTATTGGCAGAATTATAGTGTTGGGAAACTAAATTGAATTAAACTGGAAGTAGCTGTATTAATAGCATCATGAAACTCTTAATGCCAAATTTATTAAGCAGTATTTTTTAAGTTATCGTTGAGTTAAAAAAAAATTATTTTTGTGCTATTCATAATTTTGCTTCTCTATGGAAAGCATTATGATATTGTATTCCGTTTTCCTGAAATGCATTGTAATTTATAATGAGTTTTTTAGTTGGTTCTACCAGAATATTTGCTTCATTTCATTTTTACATTTCTTTTCGGCTTATCATTTCAACTTGGGGGACTTTGCTGGAACATACCACTTATTGCTTATCATGCTCACAGGTTTGTAATTCTTTTATTCTACTTTTGGGTTTTTTTTAATGATTCGTGTGAGTTATTGAGGAGAGAAAAAAATGCCTTCTTCAAATCAATTTTAATCCTTTTGTTGAAGACTTTTTAGATATTTTTTCCAGATATATTCAACGTCCTATTATGACCGGACCGGGAATATACGATCCAACCACGATTTTGAACAAAAATGAACTTCAAAAAGCACTTAGAGAAGGCTGGATAAAGCTTGGATTCTATTTAATATCTTTTTTTTATTATTTATACGCTATGATATACACAATGGTTACTACCTCTTGAGGAATATCTATCGTGAACATAGCGCCTATCCTAAATCTAAGTAACGAGTAAAAATATAGTTGCGTGTCTCATCTTCAGTAACTAAGTATTGTAAATTTTCAAAGCTGTGAAATGTTTTTGAGCATTGTATTTTGCACTTATATGCTTCTGTGATTTCGAAATCTGATGGATTTATTACATACTTAAATAATTTATTACATATTAAATAATTGTAAAAGCTTTTTATGCGATCTCTGCTTTTAGTTTATAAAGCATGATGAAAAAATCCCATTGTAGAAATTTCTGAAAGTTGTGCCGCTCAGTTAGATTTTTTTTAAATTTTTGTTCATAAGATGATGGGAAGCATATCGCACTTGTTACATACTTAAGGATTGCAAAAGCTTTTTATGCGATCTCTGTTTTTATTTTTGTTGTAATTTTTTGTCATCATTGTTTTTCTTTCAAGCATAAAGAAACAAATTGCTAAATGTCCATTTCGTGAAATATAGAAACATTAATTATGCACCTTTGCGTTGTGAAAATTTAATAAAATCGGTCTACATTGCATTACATAATGTCATTCTGAGAATCTCTGCATTCTGAGAATTGATCAGTCGCTTCGTATAATTCTGAAATTCGTAAAGTTCTAGGTGGAAAATAATTCAAACTTTTACATTTAACATCTTAATAAAAAAATTGAGAAGGTTGGAATTGGATGATGCTAGACGATTTCCTTAATTTTCAAAAGCAGAATTATGCTCTTTATAAATACTTCTCAAAGTCATATTACTGTTGACTATCATCCACAAAGACAAGTTTTAAAAGAAATTTATTCATCAGTTTAAGTTTTCATACGTGAAAATAGTAGTAGTTTGACTGATGATGACAGCAATCATATAGCAAATAGCAATGTCAACGGTGACGATGGGATGTTCTCTGTTTTCCTCTTTCTCTCTCTCGCTCTCTTTCTAGAGGGCATGACATTTTCCATAATGTCCATCAACGATTGCAATGAAGGCGGAAAACCTGTTAAAAACGACGAAATTTGATTTCATCGTACAGTTGTATGCCCATACCTGATCTCCACTGAACATGATAACAACACACTTCTCTCTCTCTCTTTCTCAATTGTTCTTCTTTTAAACATTAACTAATCGTCTCAAATTTCTTTTCTCGTTTAATATAAAACTGTAACTTGAATTTTTTTATTTCCTAATTAATGATAAATATGGCATAACTTTACAATTAGATAGAATCCAAGACTACCCTTAATCATTCGAAGATTTGATCTCAATTTTAATGTAAGTTAGTTTAATTCAAGTTGTGTTGTAGTAATTTAAAGAGAAAGTTAAGCAATTAATTTTGAATGGAATGAAAAAAATGTATCGTTTAATTGCGTATTAATAATGAATTTACTGGACAGAGCATCACGCTGCTAATTGAATTTATCACGAATGATAAGTAAATCAAAAATTATATGAATGACATTTTACATAAGAATAACGATGATATGCTGTAAAATTATCAATTATGTTTGCACGATTCCCGCAACAATTAGTTTTTCTTTCCCAATTAATCGTATTATCTGAAGAGATACGAATTTTAAGTGAAAATTACAAAACATTACATCCGATCCGATGATATCCAATAATCAGTTCACTCATCAAAAGTTTGTGTAATATCAGTAATTGAAAAATTTACAAAAAAAGATGACATTTTCTAATTTTCCATTATTATTTTGTTTGCAATGGTCATTGATTTACTGTATTAATCAAACAAACTTAAATGTGTCTTAAAAATGAAAAGAAAAAAATTTATCCCTTATCAAATTTAGCCAGAGAATTAAATATGAGATATGTGATAGCTTACTCTGAGATTATTTCAGATGTTATGTTTTCTTAAATTTTTGCACGCTGCTTATCCCAGTTAACAATACGTACGGCACTGATAGAGTATAATTAAAGAATACAACTCTTCTGGATAACGTTATCAATGATACGTATAGAAAGTGCTTATCATATTATTCATGTCTTCTCATTATCATCGGTGGTACCTCACGTCTTATCTGCTCCTAATTGTATTCTTCTACTTCACGCTGATTAGCATCACAACAGCAACAATATTCTCTGACTCATTGGATCTATGCCAAACTCAATGTCTTGATCGAAATCTGGTAAGAGTTCTATATGCTATGGAAGGCATAACAAGTAATAACAAAGAGAGTATATGTCACGTACAAAACATCTCACGTACGTGTCATGAGCATTATGCAATCAGTGCTAGAGTTTACAGGTGGTTGCGCTCGCTCGTGGTGCAGTTGACTGGGACACTTCATTATTTGAGATCAGCCTAACTCAACGAATTAATGCGGTAAGAATTGTTTTAAGGGATACTGTAGAACAGTTAATTATAATTGACCCTGTCGTGCTGTGAATATCATATCATGAAAGGTCGTAAATTATAATGAAGGAAGCATATTAGAAAGATTTAACGTACGTGTAATGAGTTGCACAAAGTGAAGAGTTATACATTTTATTCACTTAATTCAAATGACAATTGAATTATACCTACTTTGCGGAAAAAGTGAATTTAAAATGAAGTTACACAGCTGTCTTCAGGTAGTAACAATAGGTAAATAATAATATGAACACCTGAATTTAATTGTTACAGTGTCATAGCGGCTGTCAAGATTTGGAATCAACAAATTCGACTTGCTCAGAGCGTTGTGCTAAACTGATGCCAACAGATAGCTGTATACAAGGTTGCCGGGCTGTTACCGATATTTTTCTTCATCATTTACAAGGTCAGTGAGGTCAGTTTTTGTTTGACAGTAATATTTTTGCGCATATTACGAGCTATTTAGTGAAGGCTCCGAAGTTCATTCAAAGGATTCAAGTTTTCTTGTCAGTCATAAATATAACTAACATTCCTATAATTGAAATAATATTGTGATCAATTGAAGGGTTACTGAGTCATGCGCAAGTTGTAATCGAAGATGATTCATCGATGGGTGTAAATACGGTTTGGAGTTTAAGTAGTGATTATGGTTCAATTATCAGTGACATTTTGGTGGATGACATACAGTGGGCTGTTCAAAGTCGTCCGGCTAATACTTCCCTCCCGTGGGATGTTACAGTTTTTGAAAAGGTATCAAATTATCGGAAAAATGTAGAGTGTACCTTACAGGTGTCAGCTAACTGTTCAAAACTTTTGTATCAAAGTGTACCAAACATTTAACAGTAATATCTTTAACCTGTAGATATATATCTGTCACATATCATGTCTGAATTCAAATAGTTTGGTACTTTGAATTAGCTCCTGAAATTACGCTTTATCTTATTTCTATTTTTGAATCTTCAAATTTGGAAAACACTTTCTTTCAGGCATTCAACATTGAAACCCTAGAAGCAGTTGTAAATATACCTTCAGTTTTTGCTGAAGAAATAGAGGTTGTTTTTTCTTTATACCATTAATTATTAATTTTAAGTTAATTGCTTATTACCTCGACTTGACTGTCGTTATGATCAAAGAGACTGTATTACATGATAATAATCGGTATTTTATTTATGTAATGAATTACTCTGCAGCTCCGACTATGTATATCGTGGCGGACTTATACTATCGTCTCTCCTATACATCACCTTCCTATCAGCAATACTGATAACATCAAGCCATTACCACCAACAATTATTTCACATTTGCAAATATCAACGAATAGTTTTGTAGTTTGTTGGAAGAGTGCATTAAAACGTTTCTACAAAGTATGCTTTTTTTGATATATGATATTTTCCCTAAAAATAAACTTGTCATATTAAAAAATTTTTTTCTTGACAGGTTAAATTTTAAAATGCCAAAAAACATTGTGTTATAGATTTCGTTGTATTCGCTTGATGAAATTGAAATCACAACAGCGTTGGTGGAAAATACTTGTTATTTGTTCCAAGAAGTATCCGTCGACAATTGTTGTCGTGTTGATATTGGCTATGCAAATAATGAAACTGCTTCTGTATCCATACGAATTGATCTTATTAATACAGGTTACTACAAGAATGTTAAATCTAACTTTAAAGATTAAGCAGGTGAATGATTGAAATTAATGTGGCAGATAAAATTTTTAAAAATTATTTACAATTAATTTATGATAGGCTTAGAAGAAAAATCAGAATCAGCAGCGCAATTGGTTTTTACGAATGGCACGTCAGTGATGAAACTCTACGATATTGATGATTACGCCGTGCTTAGTGATCCAAAATTAATTCCGTTCGAGTTAAAACTTGGCAGATCCATTACCGGTAATTGATTTATAATTGACTTGCTATCATTATGAAATATTATATTAAAAGATTACGCTAATTACTTTCATTTACAAAATAATATATTGCATCATTATCCTTCTGTTTTAAAAGAGTCGTGCATACAAAAGATAACTTATAATCACATTATCATCAAAAAAGATGATCTAAATGATATGATTTGATAAGTTGTCAAATATTTTAAATATTAGGCTAATTTTTGCTTTGTAATTCGTCTAATAGTTAATAAAATCAAAAAAGAAAAAACAAATCACTATTTTAAAAGAAATTTATAATATCTTTTTTTAGCATTGTGCTCCGTATCAGCTGAAAAATTATTGATTGCATTAGATGATGGTAGTATGTACTGGTTAACAATTGATGATAATGATGATATATCAAGCGGAATGTTACGATCACCGGATGGTACAGCAATTGTACATATGGATGTTGATCATATACAAGGCGCCGTATACGCTGTTCTGTTTAAAAGAGGAATTCTAAGGTAGTTTATTCTAATTAAAATTGAATAAAATTACACTAAGACATAGGCACATTATTAATGGTGAAAAAAATGAAACTTAGATCAATTTGACAACATTTATTCATAAAAATATTCATTAATAAGATATTTAGTGTTTCAAAATTTAGATTAGAAAGGAATTTCAAATTCTTTATTTTAAAATTTATTATAATTAGATGTGGCTTGATAGATTGCGAGAACTCAACAATTTTAGCAACAAATACAATTAATTATATTGAATATATTTCGGTCGATTCATGGAATGGGTGAGAAACTTTTTTCATTAATTTATTAAAAAAATATTAATTGTGCAAACTCAACAAGTATGATTGTAATAATTAAAATCATTTTATTAAAAAAAATTTATTACAGACATATATATTGCATATTAAATGGCGGCGAAGTGTTCTCGATACCATTATTTCCATTCGATGCTCCAAACATTCTTCCGTTTTCGGCCACAGAAAAAATGCCTACTCTTGCATTTGCAATTGAAGCAGAACCGGAGAATTCAAGATTAATTTCGCTCACACAAACCGGCTCAATTTTAGCAATAAATATTGTAAATCAATCAGTTACTGATCTTCGGGTCAATATTGAAGTGAGTGAACTGTACAGTAATATTAAAAAGGCTCATCTTTTTGATGGACGATTGTTTTGGACGTCAACAAGTTGTGGTGATACACATTCCTGGGATAGTTGTTTGTACGGTGAAGAATATGATATCGAGAAAAAGGTTATTATATTTTTGTCAAATATAACATTTTTGTAAATGAATTACTAAATTAAATTGATGCAAATTAATACTTTTATCGTTTTTTTATTTCAAATTACTTATATTCACTGAATTTGCAGTCTTTTATATTTAGAAAATACATTTAAATCGTTATTTATACTCGGGTCGAGTTGTTGATTTTGTATTTCTACGTGACAAACCAATGCCAATAACAATACTCTCACCGAGTAAAATAGGCCTTATAACAGCCGATAGTACAGCACGAGTTACATGGGAATCTCCAATATTATTACCGTTTCAAGGTCATTTTTTCTTCAACTTTATAATTTACTTATTTGGTGCTAAACAATTCTTTCAGTTTTTGTAAGTCATCCGAAAATTCATCTGAAAATTCGTCCATTACAACGATTCTTAAAATTTTCAACAAAGTTTAACTCTTGTTCCATTGAAATTTCGTTAAAAAATTCATTTCTTAGATAATACACGATTTTTAAACCTAAAAAAAGCGCCAAACTTTAGCACAAAATGAATGGCGTCATTTGCTTTATGAATGTCGCATAATTGGTGACGAAGAAAATGGCAGTACAACAGCGGAATTTACACAGTTATCTGACACTAATCTATTAATCCCGATTTCTCCCGGGCTTCAGTATCATGCATCTGTTCGAGCCTGTATCAATACCATATGCTCTTCATACGCTAATGCTATCAATAATGCATTTGCCCCATTCACTGGTACAATATTCTATTTCATGCAGCATTCTTTAAGGACGATTAATTTCAGAAGGTGTTGATTGATCATCCAATTTGTTAAACTCTTCAACATATCCTTCTTCATCATAAGGATTGCAAATTTTTTTTTTGTTGCGATAAAGCTTTCGTTTATTAAACTTTTCAGAGCCTTTATTTATCGCATTTCATCAAACGATCAATAATAATATCAGTTATTATGATATGCTCGGTGATCCAATCGAAAATTACACGCTACGTAAGTCTTTTTTCTTCTTAGTAAAAAATGAAAATAAACAGCGGCGATAGTTGACACAGTTAAAGTGTGGAAGAATGTTTATTGATTCTCTTTCTTATTTTGCCTAATTGACCTGGAAAAAGAGATTTGTGCAAAGATTCACTGCTTTCATTTTATTTTAGCTGGTCCAGTACCAACAGATGAAGCTACGGTATTTGCTTATGATATATTAATGAAATCGCTGTATGTTGCTAATACGGATAAGGTTATTAAACTTACTTCAAATTTGTTATTAAACTTACTTCAAATTTTTAAAAGAAATAAATTGAATTTGCAGAATATAATAATTCGAATACGTAACGATGGTTCTCAACAACTTTTTTTGGATTCAATTGCCGTAAAATTTATGACAGTGATGTCACGTAATGCAATAATTGTTGTAGCATC